TTAATAATAATAATAATAATACTAATAATGATAATAATAATAAAATAATAATAATAATAATAATAATAATAATAATAATAATAATAATAATAATAATAAAATAAAAACTATATTTATATAGCGCCTAATAGATCACAGATCCCTCACAGATCCACTAGTGTATCATGATCAATGTAATTTCTTACCACCAGATCCGCCATTAAAAACTCACACTACAACAATATTAAGGTATTGTCAATCGTAGTACAATTTGAATATTTGAAAATACCTAGTCAACTATATGCAAACATTAAGGTATTTGAAAATACCTCCTTGTTCGCATATGGTTGATTAATGGGTGGTCATTATACCCCGGAATTTACAATAAAATTGTCGTTAATTTTGCCACACGTTTTGCCTTGTGGTTTATCCAATGCTGTTATCTTTTGGCATGATGCTCGATGTTTCTCTATTTCTGGTAGTACATGGTAGTGGTAGAAACGCTTAAAAACTGAGCTGCGACGGAAACGCTTCTACCATTACCCCAATTCAGCATTTATTATTAAAACAGTCGTGGGCCTATATTAAGGCATTTTAAACATTAAACTCAATCAAACACAGTATATATTATTTTAACAGAAACAGATTTTCTTCTAAAATCGATATTGAGTACAGTAATTGTTATAATAAGATTATGGTATTGTACTGAATATTGCACCATTACCCCGGTCCAATTCCCATTGTTGCTCTCCTTGTATTTCAACAGGACGGAGATGCAAGTTACGATTGCGCACCGTCTTTCGGGTGAAACGTTTACGGGAACGCTTCTACCATTACCCTAATTTAGCATTTTCTCATGTAGATGTGATATTGGAAAACAGCGGTGGGCCTTTATTAAGGCATTTTAAATATTAGCCTCAATCAAACAATATACATTATTTTAACAGAAACAGATCTTCTTTTAAAATAGATATTGAGTAATAATAATGAGATAATGGTAAAAAAAAAGTATGCCTATTTATTATAAGTCTATCAAACCTATTCGATATATAGCTCAGTTAAAGTTTTCCTACAGCCACTTAGTGTCGGCTAAGCTGGTGGTAACCACGGTGTGTGATTTAAATTCAAATTGCTGCTCTCATTGTATTTCAGTTGGATTGTTGAAGTTACGACTGCGCACTGTCTTTCGGATGAGACGTTTAAGCAGTTGGCCCCGAGTGCATTATGGCCCATGTGCACGTTAAATGCAGTACGCTCATCACCAGAAGAACCTAACAGGAAATAAGTCTTCTTCAGACTTTCGTTGGTTATCTTTGGTATTGACACCGAATAAGCATGCATCCATCCATCTCTTTGATTTTTTTTACTGTATGGTAAGTCATTCGCTGTTATAGTAATTTATCTCAAGTAGTGTTTGGATGAAATTAATTTGTTTTGATTCAAATTGTTTATGACGCCAAAATTTATTACCAGATTTGTTCTTCATTAGAAGATCATCAAGAATGTTTTTGTTTAAAATAAACAACTATAATTATACCGCTATTGTTTTGCTCAACCAGTTTTAAGAGTGCATGGTATTTTATTATTATAATATTGGCAGACCACATTGCCTTTGCATAGTCTATTGTTTTTTTAATAAATAAAAAAAATGAACTTCTATTGGCAACATTCACACTCCGAAAGCCATTTTTAGGTTTGAGAGTGCAAGCTGGCGTGTTTAGTTTAATTATCAAAGATACTATTTTATTCCTCAATGGTTATACATAGATAAATAGCAGATTGAAACTCACCTCCTGTAATCTCACCATTCCAGTAAAAGTATACAACAAGCATAAAGAAATAGATGTATTGTGAGACAACCAACACCACTGCGGCTATTCTAAAATTAGGACAGGTAAATGGTCACCCCATACCTATACTGTTCCAGCTCTAACGAGCCAAAACTCGACACTAAGGCTCAATCTCAATATATGTTTATAGGCGTAAGAGCGGACACGGTCTTAACATGTTCTGGGACGGCGGTGCTACTCTAGATAGTAATAACTTCCAGGAGTTTGGCTTGTTAGAGCTGGAACAGTAGGTGTATGGGGCGAAAAGATTACAACGGATAGCTCTCATTGTTGTTTTGCCATACTTAACATTTAATATATAATTAAATAATAAATATAATTATGGGGAACAAACATGATAGGATACTAGTGACAGAAATGCTTCATTTACAGAAACATATAGAATACCACTGTAGCTTTTAAGCTTTGTTTATTTGACATAAACGTTATTTATCAATAACTATTAACATTACAGGGATGTAAGTGAAATTGAATGTAACATATTACCTTAATCCTCCGCCAAAAACTATTATGAAAATATAATTCAGTAGAAAGTTTACAGCAACCGTGAATCCCAACATTATCAGTACGACGCAAACATGACCTCGACACTGTAAAAATCGGCTTAAAACAAGCGACCACAATAAAATCTGCAAATAGACAAATAAAGATACACAGGTAGTGGCTATCGGCACTGCCGCAGTGCCGATTTGGCACTGCCGCAGTGCCAAAAAAAGCTGCTGTTTTCTATCGGAACTGCCGCAGTGCCAAAAAGCTGCCGTTTTCTATCGGCACTGCCGCAGTGCCAAAAAGTTGCTGTTTTCTATCGGCACTGCCACAGTGCGAAAAGCTGCTGTTAATTAATCGAATCGATGTTTTTATCAATAGATGACATTGGTATAATTCATAATTCATAATTTTATTTCACTCAAAACGTAATGAGACTGGTTAGGCAAAAAGGAACATGTCCCTGTACAAGAAACAATGATAATGTTAATGGCAAAGACATAATAATAATAATAGTAATAGTAATAATAATAATAATAATAATGATAATAATAATAATACAGATAATAATAATAATTAAATAATAATAAAAAGTAAATGACAATAATAATAATAAATGAAGATCAAAATATATCATTGAAGTGAATTCAGTTATTTATTAAAACAAGATTTGGAGGGCTGGACTGTCATGGAGGTGTTGTATTAATGACGTTCTAAATATTTGCCTTTATTATATCAATAATTGATCAGGTCTAGCTTAGCCTATGTTATTTTTAACATTATATCATATTTGTTTAACAATTAGTTTAAATAATTATTTTTAATAAAATTATTAAATGTATACAATATATATTATTTAGGCGTAGGCATATACATAAAACAAAAAATGAACAAACAATAATAATAATAATAATAATATTAATAATAATAATAATAATAATTTTAGAATAGTTTGATTAATGATATAGTAATAATCAGCATATTAAATAAAATTACGTCCATGCAAAACCTGCTTTTAAATAAAAACTTTATCTATTTGATTCTGTTTTAAAAAATAATCTTATAAATTATAAGTTTATTT